TACAACCAGCTCAGAGTGGCCGTGCGTGTTTGGGCGTTCCGCAAAGTGCTGCAGAGCAAGTGGGTGCTCTGAAAAATGCCCCAAAGCAAGAGGGCGCTCTGAAAAATGCTCCAGAGCAAGTGGGCGCTCTCAAAAGTGCTCCAGGGCGCGCGGACGCTCTGAAAAGTGATCCAGGGCACGTGGGCGCTCTGGAGCCCGAGCGCCTGAACTCTCTGCGCAGGCCCCAGCGATGCCTCTGAGCCCGAGGACCTGGACGCCCTGCGCAGGCCCCAGCGATGCCTCTGAGCCCGAGGACCTGGACGCTCCGCGCAGGCCCCAGCGATGCCTCTGAGCCCGAGCGCCTGGACGCTCTGAGCAGGCCCCAGCGATGCCTCTGAGCCCGAGCGCCTGGACGCTCTGGCGCTCTGAGCCCAGCAGACTAAGACAGGGCTTGCTAGCAGGGGCCAAGCGGCCTCAACAAGGGCCCCGTGCTCGCACGGGAATAAGGCGACAGCGTACGTAGGAAGGCTCAGGGCGACGCGCTGCCCATTTTAGGGGTCACTCACAGGAAGCGAGCCCAGTGGCCTCCACAAGGGCCCAGCGCTCCAGGGAACTAGGCCATTGGCACCGCGGGTCTCTTGGGCCACGTTGGCCCCTGAAGCCCCACGGTGTTCTGCAAGGGGCTAAGTGCGCCAGCTCCAGTTGGCCCCCTGCTGCTCCTCGTCTTGGAAGATCGAGGTTCAACGTTCCGAATAAATGCAACTATTTCGAAGATCGTTTCTTCCAGCGTCAGCCACAGTGCCAGCGCAGCAACGCAGGTATCCTGCTCGGGCAGCAGCCTCAGCCACCGTGCCAGCGCAGCAGCTTGAGCCACCGTGACAGCGCATCACCGCCACCTCTGTGCCTGCTACCACCACACTTACCGCTGCAGCCCCGCTACCTCCACAATTCCGACTGACCCCCCGCTACTACCGCAAATCCCATTGCAGCCCAGCTACCACCACAGTTCCCACCGTTGCCTGGCGACCACCACAGTTGCCACCGCAGCTTCCCAACACCATGCAGTTCCCATTGTAGCCCCCGCTACCACCACATCTCCCACTACAGCTTTCCACTGCCATGCAGCTCCAGTCTTGGACGGGATCATGGTTGATTCGTATGTCCTGCGCGACTAGCCTTCGCCCGTCAGAAAAAAAAAAGGCAGAGCAAGCAATGGCAGAACTGACCGACAGAGCTTAGAGAGCAGGTCAAAACTCGAATCCGCCCACCAGCACGCAACATGCCATAGCGCACCAATTCGCCGCATCGCCAACTCGTGCGCAGTGCTTCTTCGTGCGCGATGGGCAACTTTACAACCAACATGCCTCAAAGAGCCCAACACCACCCTTGCGCTTGCCCACGGAGATTTCAGGGAAAGGCACGCGTGCATTCAATATGTGTTTTTACTTGCCTGGTTGTAAAGTGCCCTTCCTGGTTGTAAAGTGCCCTTCTCGGATTTTGTAAGCTGGTTGTAAAGTGACCCATCTGGTTGTAAAGTGCACTTCTGGTTGTAAAGTGACCCACACGCCCGCTAGCCCCCCCGAAGAGACCCCAAGAAGCATCCCTGAGGACTCCGACCCACATTCTAGGCACGATGACGGGAAGGCCCGAAGACACGCGGATAATCCCTCCACCCTCCTTCCGCCCCCCCTCCCCTCCTGATATTGTTGTTGTCTATCATCCACCCTGTTTCTCCTCTTTCTCGTCCTCCTCCTCCTCCTCCTCATGATCATCATCATCATCATCATCATCATCATCATCACCATCATCGTCATCCTCATCCACATCCTCATCACCACCACCGCCATCGTCATCATCATCATCATCATCATCATCATCATCATCATCCTCATCCTCATCCTCATCCTCATCCTCATCCTCATCCTCATCAGCATCAGCATCATCCTCATCCCCATCACCATCAACACCCATCATCATCACCACCATCCACCCTAATATTGGCATCACCATCATCAGCATCACCATCAGCATTACCAGCACCAGCATCATCATCAGCATCGCCATCCCCAACATCATCATCATCACCATCAACACCCATCATCATCACCATCATATTCTCCAATACCGACATCACCATCATCCGCATCATCATCAGCATTACCAGCACCAGCATCATCATCAGCATCGCCATCCCCAACATCATCATCATCGTCATCATCATCGTCATCAGCATCATCACTTTCATCATCATCATCATCGTAATCGTCATCGTCATCATCATCATCATCAGCATCAGCATCGTCATCGTTATCGCAATCCCCATCACCATCAGCATCAGTATCATCATCACCACAATCATCAGCAGCAGCCTTAATCAGCATCACCATCGTCGCGACGTCGTCGTCATCGTCATCGTCATCATCATAACAATCACCATGATAATGATCAGTCTCAGCATCAGCAACATCATCATCACCATCACCATCACCATCACCATCATCCGCATCACCAGTATCAGTATCATCATCACCACCACCGTCACCATAACCATCATCATGATCTTCAGGACCACCATCATCATCACCATCATCCCCATCATCATCATCATCACCAACATCATCATCATAATCAGCAGCATCACTATCATCATCATCAGCATGATCATCATCATCATCATCATCATCATCATCATCATCATCATCATCATCATCATCAGCACCAGCCTGATCATCATAATCATCATCCCTCCTCCTCTGCCTCGTCTTGCATGCTGCACTCGACATCCGCCCCGTGGACCCTTCCTGGGGCCCACCCTGGCCGGTTGGCCATCCCGGATTGAATGTGGCGTCCCCGCGGGGTTTGCAACGGCCCCCCCAGGGAACCGAATTCGAAGAACGACGCGCGGCCAAACAGCCAAACCGCCCGTCCAGAGGAGGGTGATCGAGGGAGGGGAGGATCATCGAGAAAGAGGAAGAGTGAGGGGGATGCTGATCGAAGAGGGGAAATCATGCCATTGAGCGCAGTCGCCCCAAAACCTGGGCCACGTCACGCACCGATGGGAAATTACCTGCTGTGGAGGAAACACAAGAGGGGAAAGAAGAGGACTGCTTGGACTGTTCTCCTCGGTGGCCCTGGTGGGTGCTCAGCACCTGCAGTGCCTGTAGCCGAAAAGCTCCGCATCTATCGGGCACGTGCCCGAATTGAGCGCACACTCGGCCACTCGCCCACGGCCAACCCTCGAGCTCGGGCTGGGCTGGGCTGCCTGCCTCCTCGCCATCGGGGGGAAGAGGGAAGAGCGACCGTACAGAGTGAATGGGAGAGGAGGGGCTACCAGGATTACCGCAACCACGCAAGGAACGACATGGGAAAAGGGGGAGGAAGAGGAGACAAGACGAGACGAGACCGATGACAGCGTCATAGCAGATCGCGAGCCCCCCCCCCCCTCCAGGACCTCGTGACCGAGCAGGACGACCAAAGGGCCGAGTGGGAAAGACACCGGGAAGGCGAGGGCGAGGGATGCCACGCAGCACCCCCCGCCGCACTCGTGGCTCAGCCCCGACTCTGCCGCGTCCGCGGCGGGTGCGGGCGGGGCGGACCTGGCCACCCCCGCCGCGGCCGCAGCGGAGCCCTGGGAGCAGCACTCCCGCACCGAGCGCTGGCTGCAGGGGCGTCGGCGCGGGCCTGGGCCCCGCGAGCTCGGCGCGTGCCAGCGCCGCACAGCCCTGCAGCGGCGCAACACGGGGGTCTTGACGACAAGCGCCCCTTTCGCCACGCGGCCCCGGGGAGGCGGCCTCGGCGGCGGACCGCGGCGCGGGCTCGGCGATCGCACGTCGAGCCCCGCCTCGGGCTGCGAGCCAGGGGGCGTCGCGCGGCGGGTCGACATCGGCGCTGACCCCCTGCCCCTCGGCCGCCTCGCACTCCGTCCAGGCCCCCTGGCCCCCTGCCCCTCGGCCGCGCGCCAGGAGCTCAAGCGGCAAGAAGCACGCCGCCCAGGACACCTCCTCACTACCCAGAGGGCAGGATCCCAAGACACATCGACCGATGAACAAACGCGAGCAGCGTTTGAGACGCGAGCAGGCGACGCGGCTTCATTCATAAAACATGAACGAACGTGGTTTGATTTCTCTTTCGTTGTTTTGCGATCCTATGGAAACGGGGCCTATGACTTCGGCTTTGAGCACGCTCCGCCGTGCTGCGGCCCGAGGCGTCCCAATGCCTCGCGCCCCCCCAGCGGCCACCACCTTGAACGTCAAGAAGGCGACCGCGCCACAAGTGCACCGCGTGCCGAACGTCGTGGCCTCGGCAGCAAAGCAAGCAACTAGCTCCTTCCGTGACTCCAGATGCCGCCCATGCTGCGCCCGTCGGAGGTCCGCGGCGTCGGCGACCGACATGTGCAGACCAGCGGCGCCCGCATGAAGGGCAACGTTGCGCCGTGGTACTGCGAGCCAATCGGGCGCTCGGCCCATCAGCTTCGCCAACGGTGCTGGTAGCAGGGCGCGGACCCGCTGCGCCGCCTCGCTGCTTCCGACCATGGCGTGGAGCACCTGCTCGGCGTGGGCGAGGCGAACCTCCGTTTGCGCCTGCCCCTCCGTGAGGCGTTGCTCCTGCCGATCAGCGGATGCCCTGGCACCAGCAGCGCCGCGCCTCGGCCATCCCTCCGCCGCACAATCCCCCGTCGGGACAGCGCCGTCCCGCGCCATCCTCAAGAGCCACCGCGGCACCATCCCCTCGCACCCGTCCGGACGCACATGAGCTAGACATGAGCTAGCCGGCTTGAACGATGGGGGTGTCGTCCGCGTGGGCGACTTGAGTCAAGATTGATGCGAGGGGAGGAGGAGGAGGAGGAGGAGGAGGACGAGGAGGAGGAAGAGAGGGAGGAGGAGGTGGACGAGGAGGAGGAGGAAGAGAGGGAGGAGGAGGACGAGAAGGAGGAGGAGGACGACGAGGACGACGACGACGCAGACCCTCCGAGGCGGGAAACCGCACACCCGACGCGGGCGTGGGGGCGGCTGCGCGCGCTCCCGGCCGTGGAGCAGGTGCAGGTCGCCCCCGCCGCCCGCCTGCGAGTCCAGCACGACGGGTTCCCTGGAGGCGCCGGCGGCGAGAGGAGGGGGGGCGCCTCGTGCCCTTTCGTCCTCTGCGTCCTCCTCGTCCCTCCTCGTCCGCCTCTTCATCCTTGAGGGGGGGCCCTGGGACACACAAATGAACAGGCGCACATGACAGGATTCCCCAGATGTTCCTACACTTTCTGAAGTTCTTGTCTTCCCCCCCCACTTCCCATATTTTCCCATATTTTCTGGGAGTCGACGATTAATTGTGTTTGTGGGTTCTTTCCCCTCCTGAGTCCTCCCTGTCCGGATCCATCCCTCCGCTTCTTTGAACAGCCGCCTCTGTCGCACCACCAGCCGTGCCGTCAGGGCGGGCCGGGCGGGCCGCCTGATGCTGAAGTCTGGGAATTCCCAGCGGCTGCACGGATGGCGGCCGTTTTCAAAAGAACGCTTTCGCCTCCAGCGCCGCGCACGTTCGCTGTCAAGAATCTTCACCGCTGCAGGCATGGAAAGCAAGTTGTGTTCAGAATGAGGTTCTCGCCTCGGCGCCGCGCGCGATCGTTTTCCGGTGAGGTCCGCGCATAGGCGCTTCGTACATTCGTCAGCCAATCATACAGCTACGCTGGGGGCGGGGGGCGCGGCTACTATTCAAAATTAGACGCTTGGACAAAAAACATGGTCTACGGATTACGTGGGGGAGCTCCAGGCGACGGGTGTGCTTCAGCATCGTTGACGCATATTGGTCGTACTATGGTTCGCTTCCTGTTCCCCCTCTTCCTCCTGCCGCGGTGTGCGGTCCAGGAGCTCTGTGACTGGGTGTCGGCGGCTCCTTTGTAGTGATTCGCGCAGCCCCCTTGGAGCTGCCTAGCACCCAGCCGCACTGCCGAATCATCAAACAGAGGAGCTTCTGGGGGAAAGAGTAGCGCCGGCTGGGGCCTATACTTTGTCCACCCACGCACAGAGCGCAGTCCTGCTCTTCCTCCTCCTCCTCCTCCTTCCTCCTCCTCCCATTCCTCCTCCTCCGTCTCGTCCTCGCCCTCGTCCTCATTCCTCTTCCTCTCCCCTGTTCGACTCTCCCCTGTTCGACTGCTTTCCTCCGCACCAGACTGCCAGGAGCGTGGCTTCTCCCGCTCCCAACGCATTCTCCACGCAATGCGTGCACTGAGGGTGCTTCCTGCGTGCTCGATCGCTCATTCGTTCAAGAGTCCTGCCAACCAGAGTTCTCGCAGCGATCAGCTAAGAGAGCCTTCACCTCTGAGCTATAATATCCTGTGCACGCGTTGTCTCAACGTGGACGATATCCGTGTCTCTGGGTCTCCTACTTGTGCGTCACGTAATGTGCTGTTCACTTCTGGGGTTAGGTCGTGCGTGTTTCCCCCTACAGGGGGACTTCGGAAGAAAAATAAAAGTGCTTCAAACCTACCCCCAAAAGATTCAGACCATGCTTTGGTTTTTTAAGCAAAAAAAGAAAATAAAAACGAACAAAAAAAACAAAAAACAACTTCCCCAGTAGAATCCCCCCTGCAGGGGGACAGGCCCGACTTAATTCTATGGGTTTTCACCACGCGGGCGCCCATGGCCGCCCCGGGCCCTGGCCGGCGTCTCCGAGGTGGGCGCCTCTCTCCACCGGCTGGACACGAGCGCGCGTCACCGAAGGGGCCCCGGGCCACACACAGATAGATAGACACAAGTAACAGGATTCCCAATATTTTCCCATACTTTCGGGGTTTTTGTCTTCCCCCCACGTCCAAGATTTTCCTCTTTTGAAAAGAGATCGACGATTAGTTGTGTCTGTGTGTCTTTTCCCCTCCTGAGTCACAGTCATCGGGCCCCACCTTTGAGTGGGTCACTTGGCGACGTGCGACCCTGCACTGGTCAAGAGCAGGCGGGCGCATCGGACCACTGTCCAGCGGCGCCTCACCTGGGGCCGGCCCAGCGCGGCGGGGTCGTGGTTGGCTCTGAGGGTCGCCACCTCGACCGCCGCCAAAAGCCGCTGGACCGCCTCCAACGCCTGCAGCTGCAACTCGCGCTGCTGGACCAGCGCTGGGGCGGGCAGGCGCGCCCTCGCGGCCGCTCCCGCTAGCCCGTCGGCCGCCGCGTTGCGGGCGTGGTCCTCGAGGGAGCGCCCCCTACCAAGCGCCTGCTGCTCGTCGAGGTGGCCCACCCAGCGGGCCCTCAGGCAGTCGGCGCGGCAGTACGGGGCCAGCTGGTCCCAGAGGTCGGCGTGCGACCGCTTCATGGGCGTCGCCCCGCTCTGGAGAGCCGCCACGCCGTTGCTCACGTACTTCGAGTCTGCGATGACGTCCATCGGCCCCCCAGCCAGCTCAAGGGCGTCCAAAATAACAAGTGAGTTCCGCGCGCTGCGCGGTCTGCTCGCAGTCGACGGGGCCCCCGCGCTCCAGCGCGCCAGTTGAGTGCGCCACGCGCGCCCCCCAGCCCGCCCTGGCCATCAGGGGGTCGGCAGGATGTGCGCAGGCGCCGTCGGTCCAAGCCCTCATCCGCTGGCCCGCGGCTGCCGCGGCATCAGCCGCAGCCAGGTCTTGCAGTGCCGGCGGCGGAAGTGGCCACCGATTGGTCAGCCATGGCCGCAAGGCGCGAGTCCCGCGGCAAGACCCCCGTCAGGGCCACCTCTGGCGGCAGGCAGGCCCGCCTCGGTGGCGAGCCCGACGCCTGCGACGGCGGCGTGCCTCGCAGAGCCCCAGCGCGGGCAGCCCCAGAAGCGGTGTTTGGCGTCCTCCAGCAGAGCGCCGCAATGCGGGCAGCCCCGGGGGGCCCCACTTCGAGGCCACGCTGTCGGTGACAACGCTGCCGGAAAACACTGTGCGCAACGCGCCTGCGGCGTCAGCGGCGAGCCGCCCGTGCTGCGAGACCCGCCGGGTGGCCCAACTATCGGCCCCAGCGGCCACGTGCCCGAAAGCGGCGCGGCGCCCCGCCAGCTTCACGTACACATGCACAGAAGCACACACACATCACACACACACACACACACCACACACAGACACACAGACACGCTTTTCCATCGGCGGCCGGGTGAGTGTCACCGCAGCGAGTACTGGGGCGAGCAACGCCTGGTTCAATTACCACCTGGCCTTGCAGATGGGGGGTCAGAACGTGACTGACGCATGACACACACACACACACATATCTATATATATATATATATATATATTTATGTATACACACACAGTCTTAATTCTGGCGTTGCGGTTAAGCGCGCGGCGGCGCGGCATAGGCAGACAAACACACACACACACACACACTCAAACATTCACGTGCACACCCCCAAGTCTCCTGCGAGCGACCGCGCCGCGGACGGCGTCGGGCACGCTGGACCACGCGTGCGGGTCGCCGTCGTTCTGCGCCGCGGCCGCGAGGTCCGACCTCCCCGCCGGGGCCGCCGCAGGGGACAGGCCCCCCATTCCCCCCCCGAGGCTCCCAGATCTCGGACACTCCCAGACGTCGTCGTCGTCGTCGTCATCGTCGAGGTCGCAGAAATCGATGACGCTCTCTGGGCCTTTCTGGAGCTTCTCGCCGCCATGGCTGGGCCAGAAGCCTCCCACATGGAGTCCGAGTGGATGAGGTCGGAGGATCGCGCCGCATCGCCAACGTCGGCTCGGAGAATGTCGGACTCCACTTCGAGTCGCATCTCAAGTGCATCGTCGACGCGGCGCGATCCCCTGAACCCATCTACTCCCGCCCCTCTTTGAGGGCTGGTCGGGGGGGCACCCTGAGATGGCTCCGGGGGGCGATTCGTGAGCGGATTGTGGTCCGGGCTCGGCGCGCAGGAGCGGGGCGGACCCCTTTCTGGAAGGGGAAGGTGGGGACTCCTCGGGCAGGGCTCGGAAGCTTCCGAGAAAGGCTCTTTCAAGGGCAGGCCTGAACTGAATCGAATCGCGGATCGGATCGCCAGCGATTCGTTCCAAATCGAATTTAAACGGGACCGCCGCTCCTGGCTCTGGCTGGCCCCAGCCGACGCCTGTAAATCGAATCGAGTCGAAACCGCGGCCCCAGCCGGCGAATCGAATCGCATCGAATTGGGTCATATGCGACCCTGGGAGGCGGGAGGTCTCCTGAGAAGCACAGTCAACGCGTATGATGATGATGCGCGGTAAGGATGCACGTCCCTTGGGCGCCCAGGTGAAAGCTTTTTGAGCTGGGGATCGGCTACGAATAGGCCGATGAGCCAAGGATGCAGGGTCGGGTGGACGTAAGACTCGTGTGCGGGGGACTCGAATTGGCATGACGGGGCCGTCAGGAAAATGACGAGTCTCGAACTTGAATCTGAAGCGAGCTCCCGCTGCAAGCATCCCACGAAAACTGGACAGCCAAAATCCAGGACGGGCTCGTCAGAAAGCGTCGGCAAGCCCGCGTTTTGGCAAACTCGCGTCTGACGTTTCCCCGACAGGGGCACCCTTTGGGAATGCGGCCAGGAAGCCGGAGACACGCAGAGCTGGACTCGCACATGGCAACACCCCGAGGCCACGCACTGCATACACCTGCGCGGAGGCAAGGCCCGCGCGGCTCTTCAGAGGGGCCAGGCGCTGGAAGGATAGCTGGCCACGCGTGTCTCGCCCAGGCCAGCCGCGCCATGTGCACCCGGCTTCTTGACAGCATGATTCTTACTACTCCTCCTCCTCCTCCTCCTCCTCCTCCTCCTGCTCCTCCTCCTCCTCCTCCTCCTCCTCCTCCTCCTCCTCCTCAATATTCCGGAAGACGCATGACTCGGATTCGGGGGACCCGGGTTGGCCTGACGGGGCCGTCAAGCAAATGACGAGACCCAATCTGAAATTCGACGCGAGATCCGGCTGCAGACATCCCACGGAAAGCTGGACCGTCAAGCTCCAGGACGGGCTCCTCAACAGGCACGTCGGCAAACCCGAGTTCCAGCAAACTCGAGCCTTGCGTTCCCCGAGCGACGCGCGTTGACTGCAGGAGGGCGGGGGGGCTTCTCAGCAGACCAGCCCCTCGCAACACCTCCTCGTGCGTGCTGCCGCCCTCCAGGGTGGCACGGAGAAAAATCAAGATCACGGAGCGCTCACTTCTTCCTCACTCCGTCCCGGCGTCCCTGGTCCGCTACATGTGGGCACCCCAGTCGGGGCAGGATCAGTCAACATCTATTCGGGAAATCTGATCGAATCGGAACGTGCATCGGCCCTGGACCAGAATCGAATCTGATCGGCTCGGCTGCGCCCGACTGCAACACCGCGCCACGAGGCGCGCACATCGGCCCCTATACCACGTCGTGGGAACGCCGCAATCGAATCGGATCGGGCGGGCTGGAATCGATCTCCACTCGAATCGGTCGGATCGACATGATAGGGCGACCGAATCTATACATATCCACTGCTCCCTGGCCAGGCACACCGTGAACCCAGCAGCAGTGTATACGCCACACCCTCCTGGCTGGGCCAGGAGGGCGTATACACAGCTCCTGGGTTCAGAGTGGGCCTGGCCAGGGAGCAGTGGATATGTATAGATTTCGTCGCCCGACATGAACACGGCGGGGGACGCCAGCCACCCACTTCCCCGAGGCTCGCTGGGCCGAGCCCGCACCAGGGCCCAGGCTCGGCGCGCAGGCCCCCCCCCCCCCCAGGCCGAGCCAGAGGAGCCCGCGGCTCGTGTCGTGGCGACTTGCGAGCTGGTGCCCGACACAGATGAAGGGGCCCCAGGACACACAAATAAATACGCACAAATAAAAATATTCCCCATATTTTCCCAGATGTTCTGGGTTTTTGTCTTCCACCCCACTTCCCATATTTTCCCATATTTTCTGGGGAACCGAGGATTAATTGTGTCTGTGTGTTTCTTTTCCTCCTGAACAGAGTGGACCGCTCCATCGCGAACGGCCGCGGCCTTCCAGCAACGCAGATCGGGTCGGGCGAAAGGGGGGGATAGCAAAGGGGGGGGTTTGAGAATCAGCTCGCGTGGCTGATTTTCCCGGCGCCTCCCGGCGCCGGAGGCGACCATGTATCGAGGAATGAGCCCCTCGGTGGAGCCGAAACCAGCTGCATGCAGCAAATTCCGTAACCCCCCCTTTCCCAATCCCCCCCTTTCGTCCGTCCCGAGCAGAGCGTCTCACATCGGCCGGTGTGGGGCTGGCGGCATCCCACCTTGGACGCCCCTCCTGGGGTCGCCGCCGCGACGGCACGACACGAAGCTTAACGTATGCATGGCGATCTTGGGCCCAGGGTTGGCCCGGCCAGAGTCGGTGCCACGCACACCTGACGTCCCCCGGCGGAAGCGCCCGAAGACGGCACCCTGGACGAAGCAGCAAAAGCCCGTCCCAGGGACGGGAGGGGGGGTACGAGGGCTCCACGGGCGCGACCTCGTCGTGGAGGCTACAGTCGAAACACTGTCGCGTGAACCTGGGTCAAGAACATGAGCCGCCCGTTCGGCCAAGGCCTCATGGAGTTCCAAAACGAAGAGCCTTACAAGGCGGAGAGTCCAAGCACAAAGAACAGAAGGGTTCGTACGTGCCCCTCCAGCGTAGTGTTCATGTTACGACTGAGGGCATTGGATTAAGAACTCCTGGATCAGGAATCGGGATCTGAAAGCTGGAAGGACACCGACTGAGGCTATGCCATGGGGATCACCGCCGCCCTGGTCATATAAGGGATCCTCCAGGGTCTGGAGCCTCATGAGGTCATTCCTTAACGAACGCCACTGCCGACCTCCGTGCCAGCTGCATGACCTGCGTTGGCTTTCGGGGGTGGAGGGTCTGCACCGCCTCGTCCGAGCACAGTCGAAGGCAGTCCCAGAAAGGAGCACGGAATTCAGAGCAGGTGCTTCGCTCTGGGCGGTGCAGACCTCGATGGAGTCGGGTGTTCGAACCGCTTTCAAGCCTCCGGCCATGGAGCCCGTACGGCCCCCGAGCCCTTCACCCCATCCCAGGGAGAGCTTCTCGCGCCGAGGGCCACTCCTGTCCGGCCCCGAGGGCCGGCAGGAGCCCCCCAAGGAGCCGAGCTTCGCCGTGGGGGGGACCGGGTCCTGAGGGGAAACGGGTCCTCAATTTGTTAAGCCGTTTTTGGCTTCCGGGGGCCCACGGGCCCCGGAGCTGTCAGAAAACGGGCTCAGGATGAAGAACTGGTCCTGGGGGGAGGCCTCAGGGTCCAGGGCCCGTTTCCCTCGGGACCCGCTTCCCCGATGCGACGGGCTGGAGAGAGGACTCACGCAGGAGGTCCCTTTTTCACGACGCCGAACCAGGGAAGAGTGCAGATAGTGAAGCCTCCAGCGCAAAGATCCGCCACCGTGCCTGAGAGGAGGTACAAGTTGGAGCGCCCTCGGGTCCCTTGCTCAGTCCCCTGAGCCTCCGTCCCCGATCCTGTCGTGTAAGGGGCCCGGGCCCCAAGTTCTTAAACCTCCTGGGGCTCCCAACGCGCCCAGGGTGTCTTCCCACATGATCTTTTCGAGCCCACAATAGCCCAAAGACGGGCCAAGAGGCCTGACCTACAGCCAAGGCGCGGTGGCGGGATGGGCCGAAGGCGACTAGATCCGCCGCCCCCTGTGGCTTGCCGCAGGAGTGCACGGCGTGCTAGATGTCTAGGGTTGTTGGTACTTTTGAAACTCGCAATGGGGTTTCAGCACAGTCCGCAGGCCACCCAGAAAGCCGCGTAGATTCCCCCAAAACCATTCTAAGATGGCCCAGACGGCCTCTAAGGCGGCCAAGATGGCCTCCAAGATGCCTCCAAGACGGCTAATAAGATGGGCCCGAGAGAGCCCAAGATAGCCCCAAGATGGCCACACAGTCTGACCTAAGATGCCTCCAGGACCGCCAAGATGGCCCAAGATAGCCCTAGGCGGCCCAAGAAGCGCCCAAGAGGCCCCGAAGACTGCCCAAGAGGCCTCCAAGAGATCCTCCAGGAAGGCCTGAAGAGGCCCCAATCATGGATTGTCCTTTTTGATTGTTGGAGGATTTGGGCATTTGCTTCTTTTCGGCTTTCCGACGGCCCAAGACGGCCCAAGACACTCAACCAATAGGCCTTCAAGATGACCCCACAACGGCCTAAGAGGCCCCCAAGACGGCCCCAAGAGGGCCCTACGACGGCCCGCCTTCAAGACGCTCAAGATGGCCTCCAAGACGGCTCTGAAGCGCCCCATCAAGGCCCCAAGACGGCGCAGAGAGTCTCACAAGACGGCTTCCGACGGCGTCAAGCGGGCCAGGAACGCCGTAAGACAACCACAGAGGCCCCCAAGAAGCCCCCAAAGGCTCCCAAGAAGCCCAAGGAGGCCCAGAGATCTCCAAGAGGCCCCCAGGAAGCTCCCAGGAGGCCCCGATGGTGACCCAAGAAGATCCCACGAGGTCTCCTCATCTTTTTCCTCATCCTCCGTTTTCCTCCCTCTCCTTATCCTCCTCTTCCTCCCCCACGTGTTCCCCGAGGAGCTTCCACAACGGCTGGGGAGCACATGGCTCAACAGCGTGGCCAAACTTTGCCCAAACGTTTGGCCGCGTGGGCGGACCCTGAAGTGCAAGGGGGCGGCGGTGCTTCGCCGCAGGCGTCTTCGATGTTTCATGGAGCAGAGTGGGAGAAGGAGGAGGAGGAGGAGGAGGAGGAGGAGGCGCAATGCGCGGAGGGGAAGGCCAGGCGCGGCCGGGGCGGGCGGGGCGCGGACCGGGCTGAAATCCGTGGAGGGGCGTGCGCAGGCCCTGCGCAGGCGCGGTGGCCTGGCTGGCGGTGCGCAGAGACATTCTCGGCGGGGCGCGCTGCCCGGCAGGGCCGCGCAGCCCTGCCAGGCGGGGGGGAACGGGGGCAGCGGGAGGCGCAGGGAGGAGCGTGCCGCCGGCGACGAGTGGGGGGACGGTGCTGTGCCCAGCCCTCGCCGGCCCTGCCCGCAGCGGGAGGCGGCTCACTGGTACGAGCGGAAGGGCGACAGGTCGGCCGGGTCGTGCGACACCCAGGGGGCCACGCGCCCGCCGTTCTCGCCCAGGTTCCCAAAGTGCAGCAGCAGGTCGTCCAGGCCCTGCTTCCGCGCAGCGACCACGTTGAGGCGCTCCCCCGGGTCGTCGGACTGCTGGCCGTCGAGGGCGTCCCTGCACTTCTGGCCCGCCTCGGCGCTCTTGAAGTTGACGAAGAAGTACCCAAGTCCCTGGGGCTGCTCGGCGGAGTCGCCGGCGAAGAAGGCCTTGCGCTGCTTCTTCCCGGGGAACCAGAGGAAGAAGTTGTACTCCCCCTCGAAGCCCTTTGAGTTGAGCCACTCCCGCGCGACATCCTGGTCCACAAGCTCTGACGGCAGGTTCCTCACGATGAATGTAGTGCAGGGCACCTCGGAGGCCAGGTTCTCAGCGTTGGCCGCATCCTGGGCCTGCTTCTGCGCCGCCTCCTGCTCGTCCTTCGTGAGGCGCTCGATCGACTCGTCCGCGAAGAAGGGCCTGCACTGGGTGTTCTTGCTGTCGTCAAGCAGGTGTGAGAAGCGCACGTAGTTCTCCGAGAAGCCCTGCCTGCGGGCCGCAGCGATGCTCAGCGGCGGTGCCTGCTTGCCGTTGTCCTCCGTCACCTCGCTGGAGGGCTCCCCGGTAAAGCGGGACAGGTGGAACTGACCCTTGAACTCCTGGGCGATCTCCGGCGTGAGGAAGTTGACGAAGGCGTACGGGAAGACGCTGAGACGGGACGTCTTCCGCGCCGGGAAGAAGAGCGCGAAGTCGTACTTGCCCCTGTATCCCTTCTCTTCCAACCACGCCTGTGTGCTTTGCTGCGTGAAGTTCGGATGCAGGTTCCGGAGGATCAAGGTCGTCGCGGTCTCCTCGTCGATGGGGGGCCCCTTGCCCTCCTGCGCGCCCTCGTTGTCTTCATCGTTCGCGTCCCCTCTCTGCTGGCCCCAGCGCTCGGGCTCCCTGGCCTTCGGGGGAACTCGTTGCGCAACCGGGTCGAGGCTGGTGGGCCCAAGGGGTCCGGGGGAGTCCAGGGAGTCCGGGGGGCCCAGGGGATCCAGGGAGCCTGGCTGGAGGAATCGGAGGAGGAGGAGCGCGAGGAGGGATAGTGGGGACGGAAGGAGTGAGGTGGGGAAGGGGACGTAGGAAAGAGGACGAGGGAGAGACGAGAAGCATGAGGATGAGGAGGAGGAGGAGGACATCTAACAAGGGCCAGAATGGCTGAAACCTGTGTCAGCAGCATGAGAAGCAGCAGCAGGAGGGAGCCGTTTGCGATCTGCGCGCTCCCTTTGCTTGTCCTCGTAGTCAGCTTGGATGGGGGCCTTGTCTACTAGAGGGTGCTGCGCAAGAGGATGGCAACGTCCAGTTCCAAAGAGTTATGTGTAATAAACTTGGGGCGGGGCCTTGTCTAATGCAGGGTGTGGTGCAGGAGGAGCGGCACGTCTAGCACGAAAGACGCATTTTTGATCCAGATAGGGGAGGGTCCTCGTCTCATAGGGGGTGCTGCGCAGCAGAGGGGGCCTGTTCAGGCGGAGGTTCAATTATACCACAAAGGCCTCGTTTGGACCAGCTTGAGGATGAGGTTTTGTCTAATGGAGGATGCTGCGCAGGAGGAGCACGTCTAGCATCAACGGAGCAATCTTCATCAGCTTGGGGAGAGGCGCAGCAGAAGGGGGCCTGTGTACGAGGAAGGGCGCGTCGAGCACTAGATGTGTGTCTGTTGATCGGCTTGGGGAGGGGCCTTGTCTGATAGAGGATGCTACGCAGCAGAGGGGGCTGGTGTGGGAGGGGGGGCACGTCCAGCACCAAGAATTGTGCTTGTTCATCAGCTCGGGGAGGGACTTGTCGGATGAGGGTGCTGTGCGGGAGGAGTGGCACGTCTAGCATGAACGAAGCAGTCTTAATCAGAGTGGGGATGGGCTCTGTCAAATAGGGGATGCTGCGCACAAAAGGGGGGGCCTGCAAAGGGGGGGACGCACGTCTAGCACCACGGGTATGAGATGAATCAGCTTGGGGAGGGGCATTGTCTGACAGAGGGTGCTGCACAGCAGCAGAGGCCTGCATAGGAGGAGGGGCACGACTAGAACCACTGCGTTGTTTGTTGGAGCAGCTTGGGGAGGGGCCCTGTCTACTGGAGAGTGACGCTCAGGAGGGGCACGTCGAGCACCAGACAGCGTCCGTTAAGGCTAATCCGCCAAATGAGGGTTTTTTGTCCAGCACAGGGTGCTGTGCAGGAGGATGGCCACGTCTAGTACCAAGGTTGTGCTCGTATTCAGCTTGGGGAGGGCCCTTGTCTCAGAGCGGCTGCGGCGCAACGGAGGGGGCCCATGAAGAGGGAGGGGCACGTCTAGAACCAAGGAGCTCCGTTTGATCAGCTTCGGGAGGGGGCTCGTCTAGCAGAGGGGGGCTGCGCAGCAGAGGGGTACTGCATGGGAGGAGGGGCAGGACTAGAACCAATGAGTGTTGTGTTCAATCAGCTTAGGGAGTGGCCTTGTCTACTAAAGGGGACGCGCAGGAGGGGCACGTCTAGCGTCAAACAATTCTTGATACGTTGAATCAGATTTGGGAGGGGTCTCGTATGATATAGGTCTGCCCAGGAGGATGGCCAAATCTAAAACCAGGGACTTGCTTGTACTCAATTTGAGGAGGGCCTTGTCTAAGAGAGAATGCGGCGCGATAAAGGGAGACCGTGAAGGGGGAGGGGCACGTCTAGCACCAAGGAGCTCCATTTAATCAGATTCGGGAGGGGCCTCGTCTAACAGAGGGGTTCTGTGCAGCAGAGGAGGCCAGTCTAAGAGAATCGGTACGTCTAGCACCGAGGAGCTTCTTTAATCAGCTTGGTGAGGGGCCTTGTCTAACAAACAACGCTACGCAACATCACAACAAATCGTCATGACCATCGGCGTCGCAATGATCGACACCGTCATGAACGTCATCATCACAAGCACGACCACCATCACCATCAGCATCAGTAGCATCATCATCATCATCAGCATCATCAGCAGCATCATCATCAGCACCATCATAATCAGCAGCATCATCAGCACCATCATCATCATCATCATCATCATCATCATCACCTTCAACATCAGCATCACCATCAACAAAATCCTCATCGTCATGATCAGCATCATCATCATCAGCATCAATATCATCATCATCATAATCATCATCATCAGCATCATCAGCGTCACCATCAGCATCATCATCAGCATCACCATCGTCAGCATCATCAATATCATCGTCGTCATCATCCCAAGCAACATCATCAACATCATCATAACCCCCTCATCTTCTTCAGAATCATCATCACCACTATCGGCCATCACCATCACCATCGGCCATCACAATCGCCATCGCCATCGCCATCATCATCGCCATCATCATGGCCATCATCGCCTTCATCACCAGCACTGGGGGGTCTGGAGAGTCACGGAGATCTGTTGGGGCTGGGCCCGAGCAATCCAGGGCGTGCAGGGAGTCCAGGAAGTGCGGGGACTCCGGAGGAGTCCAGGAAGTCCGCGGGGTGCGGGGAGTCCAGGGAGTCTGGGGAGTCCAGGGGGGCCCAGTTGCGCACCAGAACGCCTTCGGGGGCAGCTGCTTCGCGAGCTGGATCTGTGCCGGCAGCTGCTGCCTGGGCATGTGGCCAGCCGACCCCATGGCGACCATGGCCGGTGGGGGGGGCGGCGGCATGCACTGCTGCGGCATGAAGTCCCAGGGACTGGCGCCCGGCGGCACTGGGACCCCGAGCATCTGCGAGATGTACGCCGCATGCTGCTGCATCGCGTGCCGCATCTGCGCCTGGTACTCTGGTGGTATCGAGCCCCACTCGTCGGGGGGCGCCTGCATCGTCGGGGGCGCCACGCTCCCGGCGGCGGCGCCCGGCGGGGGCGGGCCGGCGAAATAGCGCGGCGGCGCGCCGCCATGCCCGGGCGGCGGGGTGGGCCAAGGCTGCCCGGCGGCGCGGGCGCTGGACGCGGCCTGGGGCCTGCCGTCCTCGCCATCGTTGCCCTCCGCGTCGTCCCCCACGGCCTCCATCTTCGCCACCTTCGCCAGGCCGAGGTTGAGCAGCTCCGTGGCCAGCTTCCACATCGAGTGGTCGTCCAGCTTGTTCAGTAGCTCTTTCGCCATCTCCTCCGGGCTCTTCTCCCTCCCCTGGACCGGGACCTCTCGCGAGGGCGGCTGGGCGGCCGCGGCAGGCGCGGGTGTGCCACCAGCGACGTAGGACGGCATCCAGGGCGGGGCGCCGACCGGGCGGGGGCCATGGTGAGCGGCGGCCGCGGCGGCCGCGGCGTCCTGGTAGTAGTAGCCTGACATGGCGGGCAGGCGGGTCTTTGGCGGTGGGGGTTCACCGTCGGGGTGTCGACGGATGGGGCGGAGAGGTGTGGAGCGATCGCGCTTTGAAGAGTATGCGAGAGCCGCTCCTGGCAATGAGTCGACCCCCCCTGAACGAAGTGCGTGGGGGGGGCAGAAATTGCTGGGCTGCTAGAGCCCTGAAGCCAAAACGGCAACGGAGGATTGGGATGAGGAGTCGACAAGAGAGAGGAACACAAAAAAGCGCCAACCAAACCAAACCAAGAATGGCGCACTGGCCTGTACGAGCCTGCCTGTGTGCGAACCGGCTTAGGAACGCGGGCAACGACGCTGCGATGATAACCTGTGGCCCAAGCAGAGAACTCTATAAATGATACGTAACGCAAGAGAACATGTAATGCCAGCGCGTGTAGATTAACCGATAGGTTCTAGCACTCCCGATACGCAAGCAATGCGGAGCAGTGCAAAGCAAGGCAACACAACGCAAGGCACTGCAAAGCAATTTAGCGCAGGGCAGTACATGGCAAGGCATAGAACTGCAAGGCCATCCGGAACAGTGTGGCGCAGTGCAAATCAACGTGGCGCTGCAACGCAACGCGCTGCGAAACACATCAACAACTTACTGTAAAACAATGCAACGCAATGCAAAACAATGCAATGAAGTGCAAGGCAGAGCACAGCAACGCAATGCCATGCGACGGAGCGCTCCCATGGCGGCGACGGGGGGAGGAGGAAGGGGACGAGGAGGAGGAGGAGGAGGAGGAGGAAGGCAGGAGACCACTGGAGAAGGAGTATGAGGAGGAAGGAGAATGATGATGGTGATGATGATGATGATGATGATAATGATGATGCTGATGCTGATGCTGCTGATGATGATGATGATGATGATGATGATGATGATGATACTGAGGAGGAGGAGGAGATGGAGGAGGAGGAGGAGGATAAGGAGGAGGAGGAGAAGGAAGTGGACAAGAGGCGGAGGAGGCCCTCCCCCAGCAGGGAGGTGGAGGACATCGGGGCGATCGCTCGGCACTGCCCGCAGCTCTCTCTTTCTCTTTCTCTTACTCTCTCTCTCTCTCTCTCGCATCTCAGGAGGAGGAGGAGGAGGAGGAGGAGGAGAGCGCGGAGGAGGAGGAAAGGACGAAGGAGGAGGAAGAAGAGGAGAAGGAGGAAGCACCGCCTTAGCTTCAGGGAAACGGGTTCCAGGCGGAAGCGGGCCCTGGATTATGGGGCCTTTCCTGGGGTCCGACTTCTCCCATCCCGAGCGCCATGGCCACGGGGAAGGACCCCCGGAAACCCGCACAGCAGCGAAGCAACCTCCAGGCTCCGTGCCCTCTCCTGGGCCCAGGGGACGAAACACGTCCAGAGACGGACGCCCGAACGTGCATGCTCGATCTTTCTCATGCTGCCCCCCTCCGCCCACCAGAGGTAGTTCCACACGGACGGGTACGCGAGCTTCAGGCCGTAGCCTCCCGCGCGGCCCCGGGGGGGACGCGGCCTCCTGCGACGGCCTGCTTGTGAGGGCGGCCGCGTGTGCTCCCTCCGCGCACCCCTCGATCGAAGCCCCTTTGAACTCTCATTCGCTTCGAGCTTAACTGCAACAGAAAATAGGCCGACACCGCCCCCCATCGCGCAAGTCATGTACATCAAAATGCGCCTGCTTCGATCCGGATGCACCAGGAATGGGTCTGAGCCCATCCTCTCACACGTTTATGTCTTAATTGCGTCGGCAACGGTTTTCAATGTTCGGTATTATCTGGACCTGCCGCCGAATTCTGCACTTGTCTACTTGC